TATGTCACTTGTGCTCCTCCAGTAGCAGATATAAAAACATTTATGGTACATCATTATAACAAAACACATGAAATGTTTCATCATATATACCTTTCTAATAGTATTCCATTTTTCAACAACACATCAACATGAACCCTCTACAAATTTAATTAAGTTATGAAGCTCCACCTTTAACTCATCATGTTCCTTAAACAGTGTACAGTAAACCCTTGATAACTCGTAATTCAGTATAACTCGGAATGGCAGTAAAATATTCCGCTGTAAATTATTTTTCAATTAATTTTTACATAACTCACAATATTCCAAGATATGATGACACAATCTTCGAATGGCATAACCCACGCAAGATGTGTGGGAGGCTCTACCCCCGCTTAGTGTGGTAACTCCTGTGCACGTATGAAATGTTTTTGACCTTATCTATAACAATTGTATGGTTAATATTGACAACTGGCTCTTTGCACCTTAATTTGTTTTGATGGATCTTTTCTTACTATATTGCATTTTCCTCGCTGAGTTCAGATATGATGTTCATTTCTTAGGTAAATGCTTCATTTGGTAGATAATTAGGCCCCTAGGCTTGCACTAGCAGCAATACTTCGTCTTTCGCAGCGATACAACGGTAAGGCAGCCCAATCCATGCTCGATTTTGTCCTCCGCTCATTTTTTACAAACCGCTCGGTCAGAGCGGCTTCTCTCATGTCCACACAAAATGCAAAATTACACCATATCATAGTACAGGTAAACATCTATTTGCGATGGGGTTACGTTTCTGAAATACTAATCGCAAATTGAAATATCATAAATCAGGTTCATTATAACTTGTGGTTTAATGGGATAGGTTCCTGGCCAGTCAGACATCCATATGTATCCCCCCCCCCCCCCAAAAAAAGACTAGAATAGTACTACTACCTTGCTGCCACTCGGACTCGAGTATCCAGTTATGATACAATGACACGAGTTAATAAGGATGTCACCTTCGTTGGCGAGCTTTGAGGCGACTCGAGAAGCCAATACGGGATCGACAGGGTCGTATACAGATGTTGCACGTGTGGAGGGCTACATCTAGTGCAGAAGGGGTGGTGGCAGCATCTTTCAAGCATTGGCGCTTTTCTGCCTTAGTATGCAGTCAGGCTAAGTCAAAAGTATTGTCACCTTCTCGTGCGGAGTGATATCTCCCAGGTGAGGGGATGAGTTTAGCACTTTTCAGGATTATTGTAAGACTGTCCTTATAACTTTTCCATTGTGCCGCCATCATTACGTAACGGCAAAGTAGCTGCTTTGGCAGTCTACTGTCGTCCATGCAGGTAACATGGCCAGTCCAACGTAGTTGTTCATGGATAATGGTAGCCTCATTGCTCCTTCAATTGGTGTCAGCGAGAATACTGGCATTTGTTCTCTTGTCTTCTCAGCGAACTCGGAGGATGGAATGTAGACTAAGTTGGTGAAATTTTTCAAGTGCCTTGAGGTGCCTCCTGTATGTGACCCATGTCTTGCTGCTATACAGCAGAGTGGGGAGGACCACTGTTAGATACACATGCAGCTTTGTAGATAATTTTAGCTCCCTACAGCTGAAGACACGGGTACAGAGTCTGTCAATGGCTTGATATGCACATCTGATTCGATGTTGAATCTTCATAGATGTCAGCAGTGGCGGACCAGTACTACAAGTCAATTAAACATCAACTCACCGCATCATTATGAACAAGTCTAGTCGTCATCATGTCCCCTTTGTGTCTAAGGGGACTCTTCATGTGGATTGGAGACATCAACCCAAGTCCCTCACAGACTTTGAGGAGTCTGAAGAGTTGGGGACTGAAGGTGTAGCCTTCGTCTTGGCCTTTAAAAATGGCGACCAAAATGATTGCCAGACATTTTGAAACATACACAGCTCACTTCAATCACAATAATACAGCAATAATGATGGGGAACTTGATCCTTTTATTAAAAAAAATTAAATGATGCAATGGAGGTGTGGTAGGGGAATAATGAGTCTCATGTTACTGACGTGACTTGATCAATGTCAGGTGGAGATTGGTGGGAGATTAGTGGTCTCATTTAAAGAAAGATCACCCATTGTCAGGGTGGAGGATTAGTGGGTCTCGTGACTTGAAGATGTCTTGAATAAAGACGAAAGCTAAGTCGCAAATATATTTATGGCTAGCAAAAAAGTGTATAAAACTATATTCGCAACATTGTTCTAATTTTGTATATCGAGATGCATTCCTGATGACGTTATTTTTACCTACGAGATATATACAGTATTATATACGAAGGGTTCAGGTATTAATAAACACAGATTATATTGTCAGGTATCTTTACTAATTAATGAATACCAAATAAATAATGTACTGTACAATATTGTATCATGAATGACTGTCATAGAAGAATTAGTGTTAGGCAGCGAGATGAGATGTAGTGGGGGGGTTGGGGAAACTGACTTGTGCCACGTGGTCAGTTTCTCCTCAAGGTCGCTCAACTCCCCGTTACACCATAACCTTTTTTTTTTACCTTGATAAAAACTGTACTTTGTTAACTTTTATTCAACAGCATCTGTTCTAATTGTTAGAAATATGAATTTGATACCATAATAATCCGGAATAAATTTTCTACCAGACTTTTTCAATAAAATATCCTTAAACAAGATATTTTGAAACAATATAAGAATGGTCACTCGATTCTTTTATGGAAAACGTAAGAAATGTTGATACCGCAGTCTATAAAATCAGGTTCTAATTAAGTTAGAAACACCATTTTTTTACTAAAGTAATCCTGAATAATTTATATAAAAGTTTGTTTAAATAAATATTTTTAAACGGCTAAAAAATTATATGATACGGGCATGAAGGTTCCTCATGAATGGAGCTGTGTCACAGCCAAGACAGTGAAAATTTTCACCCAGTACTGTACGGGGGAAAGTTTTTCCCGAGAGTCTAAGCTATGCATCTCACACGGACAGACACAAGAGCTGTAATTATTTATGCAAACACCACTGTACACGTACAATATATTATAAATAAACAAAATAATGTATATTACTACTGGAGCCTACAGTAGGAGTATACTGTCCAATCTCCTGACTGTAATATTAACTGTAATCACTTTTTATGTTTTAACACTTGTGATGGAGGTGTGGTAGGGGATTAGTGGGTCTCACGTTACTGGCTTGACCTGATGCAATATCAGGTCACCCTTTGTATATACCCTGTAAGATCTTCTCTCATTTGCAGTGGAGGTGGGGTGTGTGGGGGGTTAGGAAAAGGTTAAGTAAGTTTCTTTGGTTAGGTTGGTGTGATCTTCTAATATGCTTCAGCCACTTGTTTCTTATCAACTACGGTTTGGTCAGATTTAATTTATAAATAACCCCATTTTAACACATTTGCCCAACATACGACAGTGTCCACTGCAAATCACAGTGAAATTGCGACGTTCTTAACTTTATTTTCTTCGAAAACTCGCCGGTGGATTTGTCAATAATTAGTTTTTTCTTGCACATTGTGTATGAAAGATTGTGTATATGTGTAACAGACTAAAGACAAAAATAAATAAAGAAAATAAAAAAATAAGAAAATTACGTCTTCCCGAAATTACGAGTTGAAAAATAACCACTCGGTACTAAAAAGGTGTCCTCCTCTCTCTTGTTCTGTGAACATCTACCAGGCATTCCTGGTAAAATTGGTGCTGTAAGTGCTTACTGTAGTGTAGGGAGCCCCCAATCACCTCTGACATGGCACCAAGAGCTTGAATTGTCCTGATCCTTTTCTTGCACTGATGGTAATCTTTAATTTTTTGCAAGATTTCTGATTACAGTAGATTATTTTGGGTATTGACGTGGGACGAAAGACTGGGGGAAAAGTGCCTTGATTACACGGAATGGTTAGAGCCCCATATTTTTCAAATTATCAAGGGTTTACTACCAAGAATTATTAACAAAACTCAAACTGTAATTACCTATTTCAAAAGAATAGGCTCCCGTTTCCCATTTTGACAAAATATATTACTTTTACCTATTACTTGTACCAATGCAAGTTACAATCATGATATAATGATAACAATAAGGAAGTCTTGACCAACGTATACACCAAACTGGCCAACACAATATGAAACATTCATTCTTAGTAATCAATGAATTGTTCATTTTTGTATTTTATGGTAAAAACATACACGAAACAATCCAAATATATTATACCTGTACTTTAATTCATAAAATGAGCGCCACAATGAGGTGCGTTCCAGTTATAATGGAGATAAAGGTGCTCGCTACACCTTATGGGCTCTGATAATGTTGTGTCCATCACTCCCTGTGTTTCTTCCTAACTATATACAACAATACATAAAGAAATCTGCTTCAAAGACAGAACCTTCCTCAGTGTCACTCTACTGTACAAAGTTTAAAATTAATTTGTGCTTCATAAATAACATAAAAAAATTACAAGAAGCAAATTACTTTTAAATAAAAATTTATGCTAAAATGTGAAAGCTAGAATATGAACTCAAAATGAGATACTTTGTAAACATCTTTGTACACTTTAGAACAATAAGCAAATACATACAGATAAAACCTTAAATAGATTTGTATTCCTCCAACAACTTAAGATATTCATTTATATCACCGGTTGCTCCTAGTGCAGATAACTTTTGAAACAGTGCACTGGGCAAGCTCCTCAAACAAAAAATTGCCACTGGGTTTTAGCCTTCTCACACAAGCATACTGAGAAGCCCAGCTAATGCTTAAACTGCTTATGAAATCTACATTCCATTTTTGTTTATGAATTTTGTTTGAAGCTAAAGTAACTTTAAAATATTATAAACTTTCACACATTACAAAAATTATGCAAGTTATATAGAGAAAAATAAGAATATTGTTGATGGGGATTTTGGCCAAATTCTTGTAGGTGTGAGATAAGGATCACAGGGTGAATATCTATGTTACTTTGGTTATCTTCATTCATGCTCCAAATAACACATACCTCTTAGTCCATAACTACATCTTTCTTCTTTTCTCATTTTCACCTTACATGTGGGAACTGCACAAGGTTACTGTACAGTTATGGTACAGTACTTAAGAAACAGTTAGACAAACCATTTTCATGACTACTCATTTTCTTATCCATCTCATAACCACATATCTCATGCAAGCTGAATGCCATAGTTTGCTATGTGGATTAGGTGTTCGTGAATATAATTAAAGAACAAAACCCTTACAAAGACTTTGCTGTAAATGTCTCATACCTCTTGATTTTATACTGCTTCCACTGTTCGATTAACCAATGACGAAATATGATCATCGTATTAAAAAAATAATTCTGAGGCTTCCCTGGCTGACTATGTACAGTACATTGTATATTAATCCTTCAGTAAAATGCATAAAAGATATAGCAATTACATTGCAAAAAGTTGTAGGTCATTTCCAACCATTCATTACAATAAAAAAAATAAGACCTACTTCTTTCCTATAATCTAGACCAACATTAATTCGTTTCTTTACAGCCGGAAAGAGAAAAAAGTGCAACAGGTAAAATGATGTCTGTGGGTTATAATTTTAATACCTTAAAAGAAGACATTAAAAATATACACTCTTCTCTTCCTTAATCCAGGTGACAGATTCAATGCAAGCTACTTAATCTCGGACATGCATTCACTTGATTTACACATTTATCCTGACATCTCTTGTGTGGAGAACATCCAACACTACATCTCATCTTTGAGAGCAGCAAGATGCATATCGTCCAACAGGAGCAGTGTAACTTTTTACACTGGATGCTGCCAACTTTTCACATCCGTGGATCAGGTTTATCAAAGCATCATATATTTCTGTTGATCATACACAGTACTGTCTTACTTGCGAGATTGTTTATAACTCAATACTTATCACCTTATATATTCCAGTGCTTTTCAAGCCAAAACATTCATTCTTCTCCCATCATCATTTCCTGCCAAACAAATAATGTATCACTTCCAAGCTCAATGCAGCCCTTCTGAAAGTTTATATTTTCTACATCTAGTTCTAACACCATAGTCTGGGGGTCTTATTGGTTCAAACATATACACTATATTAGTTAATTATGGTACTGTGTCTCCTCACTTGTGTCAACACTGTAGTATATCAAGATCAGGCACCAGTTCTTATCACCTGAGCTTAATGCAAAGTGTACCAGACAGATTGATAGAATATTTTACTGAAAGATAAAAGAGTGTTTATAACAGAACACTTAATTTTTCTTCTAGTTACTGTTGCTCCTGTCACCTCGAAGAATATTCTCCACCCCAAGAGTTCTCAGGAGTCTAATCTGGTGGCAAATAAGTCTCCAGTTTGTACTTCTCACGGATGAAGGGTCGCACGTCATCTTTATCTACAAGCGACTCTAGGAATGGTACAAGCTTCTCCAGCTCTCGATCTTCTTTATCAACAAACCAGCTCTCAATAGGGATCCCATTGTTGATCTGGTGAAAAAAAGTTTCATAAATACTCCCACTCACTGTAGATAACAGTAATGACTGCAACAGGAACAATAACATTAAAAATAAATCTCTCAAAAACAATATCATTAAAGGTAATCTCTCTAGAATAATAACATTAACGGTAATCTCTCAAGAATAATAACATTAATCTCTCTAGTTCTAGAAAAAATAACTCTTATACCCTTCACTACAGGGATGCCACTTTGAATATTTATTTGGCTACTGGAAGGGGATTTTATTCAGATCTGAGAGGAACCCATACACAAGGTGTTAAACTGCGGCAATTGTAAATAGATGAGCGCCTTCTGTCCCACAACATTGATCATCAAATTAATCAGGATCTTTCTGCACCACAATATTTAAGTTTGGTGCCTGATTCCCGCTCTAATGAATTATTGTGACTCGTGAACAGCAAAATTATCTTGTTTGTCTGTATAACTTTGTTATCTTCATAAGAATGATCATTTTCAAATTAACAAAGACCATTTTCATTAGCTTACCTGGTAACCAAAAGCTTGGGGAGAATTATCCACAATTATGGTCTTGGAAAGGTCTCTGCCAAGTATGGTAAGGTCCTTCACATAATTGCCCTGCACACACACACAGTGCTCACGGAACAGTCGATACCTTGAAGAAGAAGCTCATTATACAGTAGTTGATACTTGAAAAAACAAACTGATTTTCCTTGAGGGCAAAAACTAATTACAATTGATATATACTATACGTTGATATAGAAACTCATTATAGTTGATACCTTAATAAAGAAACTCATAACAGCTGATATCATGAAAAACAAATACCTTTGAAAAGGAAACTTATTACAGAAAGGGGGGAAATTTTTCTCCCCTGTGTGCATTTGTTCACTTATGACACTTATGATACTCTATATTATACAGTAGATGCTATACCCACAACACAGAATCATGCTAAGTAATATATCCATCCATAAGTATGAGAGGGGACAGAATTGACAATGCATGTATTTTTATACCGGCAAATTTTCCAATCTTAATCCATTTTCATTCGTCTTTGGTTTACAGTGAATTTAAATCCTCAAAAACTGGGCGAGTCATGTTGAAATGCAAATTGAAAATCTTAAATTTTCATAACTGGTCCAAATAAATGTCTCACACACACCTGATATATTCAGTGTTGCCCATACTCCAACCGTACTAACCCAACACAGTATTCAAAATAAATGAGATTTTTTCTTTTAATTTCACTATTGTTGTCACTAGTTACAGAACTCTTTTCCAGTGAGTGTACACCTTCACATCTGAAAAGCTCATTTTCACACCACAGCAGCTAAATTTTAAATATAATTCTCTGTGTACAGGGGGTCCCCGGGTTACGAACGGGTTCCATTCCTGAGAACGTTTGTAAGTCGAATTTGTACGTAGGTCGGAACACAGGCTATGTGCATATTGTTCTTACAGAACAATGTTTAAAATCCCACTATATCATAACCTAAGTCCTTATATACATCTAAACTCATAGCCCAAGTCCTTACATACATCTAAACTTACTTAATTTAAGACAAAAGAAGAAATAGAATGACAAAATGCAGTAAATGAAAGCAAAAAATAAGTCATCGGGTAAATAAAATGCTATAAATTTCAAGTTTAACCCCGTGTACTGTAAGCCAATGGTGTAAATAATGCATTATAATTATTAAAATCTTTACAATACACTACAGTTAAAACCATTTATAAGAAACATGGAAAGCACATACAAACTAAGTGTGAAAATTGGCTGTAAAACATTGATGATGATAATGATGATGGAAAACCAGGCATATAAAAAGGATGAATGCTTGGGCTACTGAAATAAAACGTATACTAACTTGATCCACTTGCGCTGGGGGTCAAGGAGGTTCATTAATTTGTCCGCATAAACCTTCTTACTGGCGGTGAATAAGATCACTTCGTACAGATGGGAAACGTGTTCCAAAAATTCTCGAAAGTATGGCCTGGTGCGCACGAACACCTGGTAGTTGACATCCTGAAATACCACTGGGAAACTGAGCGTGGCATCTTCCAACTCCTGAAGACTACAGTGCACCAGTGTCTCATCCTGAAGTAGGTTAAAGAAACTAATTCAATACATCTCGCATCCAATCCACAACCTTAATCCTGCCTTCACTTATACCACTGCCGATCTTCTGTGCTAACCTATCATACTGAAAGCCTTGAGAAAAAACACTTTGTAAGCTGTGGTTACTCTCAATATCACCTTTCAAACTTTTGCAAACCAGAAAATGTCTTCTTACCAAATCTAAGACCAGGGTGAATTCCGGTGAACTGCGAGTCTTAAGGGGTAGAGCTGGATTTCTTGCCCTCATCTCAGGAGTGAGTGGTGGAAGGTGCTTGATGAAGAAGTATGGATCAAAGGCTTCCCATTCATCATAACCTTCGTCACATGAACTCTCGTATGTCCCTCCAGCCTATGAGTATTAATGTCATGTTGTAAACTAATTTGATAAGTTCACTGTTATATGAGGCCTTACATACGACTGTGTTGGCCCAGCAGTGATTCCCAACCTGTAGTACATAGCCATTTTATGTAAGTCCACAAGGGCTCCTGGGGAAAATATTGAAAAACCCATGATATAATCCTATTATCCATGTTAAGGTACCTAAATGAGTGGCAAAATAGATGTTTAGTCAGCCTTTTATATGCAAACTTAAATTGTGGATGTCTCAGATCACTTAACAAGATTTTGAATAACTTTCAGAAACAGTTCGTGAACTTTAATGCTGTTCTACCAGCAGCCACTTTCATGTCTAACCCATTAATGGTCAACGATGTTGGTGAAACTGCATCTCAGACAGGATTTGTTTTCAAACTAAACACTGCTGAGCTGGAGATGGAAACAATTACTCTACAAATAGAATTACATTGGTTAGGTTGGTGAGGTCTTCTAACAATGCTTCTGCTACTTGTTTTTCATATCAACTAAGGTTAGGTTAGGTTTAATTTAGAAATAACCACTTTTAACACATCTGCACATACTACGAATGTCCACTACAAAACACAGTGAAATTGCGGCGTTTTCTATGAAAAATCGGCCGCGAGTCAGTCGTCAATAATTACCAAAATAAATCATAGACAAATACTAACCTCATAATTTTCCTTATTCTCCTGGGCTGCACATTGGGAGACCTGGGCAATCATCATTTCCGCTTCCTCAGATTCCAGCACTGTAGGGTAAACAGTTTTTAAGTCACAACTGAAGGATCAGAGTAAGTGATGTTAACTGCATGAATAACAAGAAATGAGTTACTGACTTTGTGTGTAGCATCTGTACATGCAATTGACAGGGTATTATTATTGTTGAGCAAAATGATACAGTGGGAAAACCTGAGTGAAGTATGAGTAAAAGTACAATTTGTCCAACATATAATGCCCAGTCTCCAGGAAGGGCATCCAGTAGTAACTTGCTTATACTGTGCTAGACAGCAACTGGGACACCATGCCATCAGGTAGTCAAAGCTAACTAATGCAAGTGTAGGAAATGGTCATAAAGCAATGGTGGTAATAATGATAGTGATGAGTAAAACAAAATTTATTTGGTTTGTGAAGTCCCAACAAACAATCAAAACAAAAAAATTCACTGAAGGACATAATATATTCTAACTCACTACCACCCCAGTTGTTTTCATTAATCAAAAGTGAAGCAAATTATACATCATCTATCATCAGTAGCAAACTGAGTCACTTAAAAAAAACAATATATTAGAGAAAATACTTATACATAATAAAGTAAATCAGTGCAATTTATGGAATAATGATCTTGAAGATACAAGTTGAAACCTTTAAAAAATATGAGAAAGTTCTATACAGTACTCTATCAAATAATTTCCACACCATTTTTTTGCTGCACAGAGTTGATAATATTTCTTCAGTTATGTGAGAGGTTAATTAACATAAAATCTTAATAAAATATATATATATTTGAAATGTTGTTGTTGGACAGATCATTTAAAAAACAGTGGATGTTCATCAAATGATATACTGTACAGCACTGTATATGTATCTGTGAAAGACTACACGAATAAAGATACTGTACTCAGTATGTGGGAGACAATGCCAGTAGAGGAACACAGATGGAGAACAATATCTTCGTACCAATAATAATTAAAACAAAAATAATAGCCATTCATTAATACTACTGTATAGGGTGATTCACTAGCTGGTAGCCCAGGAGCTTCAAAGTTTACTGAAAATGCACAAAAGCCTAATAACCTGTACTGTACAGTATATCACGCATAAAAGATACTCCATGGCTACCAGCGAGTAAATCAAGCCGTACAGTGCAGCCCACCTTGTGGAGAATTAGGTGTAGGTGGATCCAAGATGTGAGGAATATCAAGTTGAATGCGAGAAGAAAGTTGTGTCAGATCTGGGCCGTTTGAAGTGTTTTCCTGGCACATTCTTCCCTGGATGCTACCCTCGTGATCTTCCTCATCATCCTCAACCTCTTCCAGTTCCTCCTGCCCTCTCTCAACTGGGTAATCTTCATCAACGAGTCCCCTGGTGAAATCTCTTCCCACGGTGGGACCCACGAGGGATGATGAGAGAGGCGGAGAAGTGGCATCCACTGAATACACAGGGGAAAAGAGGGACGTGTCCATGGCAGAAGTCTTCATCTCTTGTACTTCTTTCAGCATCTTATATTTAATAACAAGAAAAAAAATGTAAAACTCACAATTTTCTCGTGAAACTAAAGCAGATTCACATTCTACTGTACATCAAAGGAAGACAAAAACTTGAGCAAATATACAACCATCCTAACATTACACAATAAGTCAAATTCATTATTGTTTCATGACAATATTCATTTCATATATTTGTGCATTATTGTATTACAGGGTATTTAACATACTGTACAGGCATTTCTGTATCTAAAAGCTGGTTAATAATTTTCTTAAAAATACTGAAGTCAATCATACCAAAATGTACAAAATGGTAAAAATTGGCCAACTCAGGAGGAATATACCTGTACAGTACTTGTATTATCTATCCTGCACTTACAGTATATTACTTTACCATCTATATAAAGATATAACTTACTTTTGATGTTTCACTTGGATGTGTAATGCGATGACGTCGACTGTGAGGCTTCCGTGGTGTGTGACGCTTGTAGCTTGGTGGGGATTCGTTTTGCCGCCTTAAATGTAACAATAAAGTAAGCTTCCTCTAGACACTTCCAGCACAACAAAATTAAATCATGATGATTTCTAGGTCATAAATGACTTCCTTAACAATAATGTTCTTATCTTCTGGAAGAAAGGATTATTTTAGAAAGTCTCAAGTCTTTCAACAATGAAACATAACAGTACTGTATATATAACTTTGGCTAACAACCCTAACAACTGTGTTCCAATATTGAGGTGTCATCCTTTACTTTTTACTCAATCTCCCTCTGTGGGGAACCCTATCTTCCTTTGTTAAAATTATCTGATCCAGAATCCACAGAAAATTCGAAAATAAAATCTCAGTCATTCACCTACATTAAATAAACATCTTTGATCACTTCAAGCAGAAACTTCAAATGCCTCCCTAAGTATAGTTCCACACTCAGCAGTACTGAAAGCATATTTATAACTGCTTAAAATTAATTAATTCCACAGAAGAAAGAGAACTGATCACTCACTTGCTAACTCTGAGAGGACGCGGTTTGAGCAATTTTGTCGCAATAATGTTGTTTTCAGAGTCAATAACAGGTGTTGGAGGGCTAGATTTGCACTTGGAGAACTTGTTGGTGTAACGTCGAGCACGTAAAAGAGGAGGAGTATGGTGGTGTGGGACGGACACGTTCACCACACTGTTGTACTGTGCTGGGGACACCAACAAGTTTTCATTCTGTTCCTGTTGAAGAATGTTGATAACTCATCAAATGTGTAAAGTATTCATCACTCTCTATACCAAAATATTATTACAACAGAATTAATACCTGTAGTAGTAACATGAGAAGGTAACAGAGGCAGACATACATAGGCTTGAGTTAGGTAGAATTAAAATGGTGAGATGGTCGTGTAAAGTGACGAAACCCTGTTCAAGAGTTAAGAAGGCAACTTGGTATTAAGAGTACTACAGTAATGGTGAGTCTCTATGTAGAGGTAAATTGAGAAGATTCAGGCATAATGGAGAGACTGGAGGAGACCATCCAGGTCAAGAAATACATGAGTTTGAATGTGGAGGGAAGGAGAGATCGGGGTAGGCCAAGAATGACATGGTGAGAGGTTGTGAGAAATGACCTCAAAGATAAGAACCTGATGCGAGAGGCTGCAAGAGATGGTGCAGCATAGAGAGCTGTTATCAGGTAATCATGGCTAACCTAGATAAGTAAGGAAAATGGCCATAAAATGGCATGATAATGAAGATGATATCCAAGACCTACCCTGTCACTGCTTCTTGTGCATCTCACCTCAAAGGCATCACCAGATCTCTTGACAGCCCTATGAGCTCTTGGAGCTCTCACTGGAGACTTGAGCAGTTGCGTGGGAGAGAGCGGACGTGGAGGAGCGGGGGAGAGAGGTGTGCGGCGGTGGTGGGTCCTGGTGCTGTTGCTGCCTCCCCCGCCGCCGCCACCACCACCGCTGTTGCTGCTACTGCTGCTAACAGGGCTGCTGCTTTGGCCACGACTCACACGGTAACGCAGGTTCATCCTCAACACTACCGCATGCCTGTCATCAACATAAGAAATAATATGCATCAGACCAATTATTCATGATAACACTTTATGCCTGGGAAACCTTACAGTAAATATAACCTGAGTACTGCATCAAGGTCTAACAAATCATAAGGTTGATTCATGGATGGACAAGATATCAACACGGGTGATGCTGACATTATCAGGTCATCTGTGCCTGGCGATCACCATGTGTTTTAAAGCGCCTTTATATCCTAATTATATTACTGTGAATACCTCTATATAGTACCACTCGGGCATCACCCTAATCCCCCACACCCCAAAAAATAATTATATATATACCAAGTACAGTACAGTACAGTCTGGATTTACGAGGATTTTGTTTACGCGTTTGGTCATTTACGCGGTGCCTTGCCAGAATGAAATGTTTTAAATACGCGGTAAATTTCATCATTTACGCGGGAAGCGGCGCAGGCAGGTTGCGCACAAGGTCGCCCAGTCATCAAAACATTACCGAGTTCTTCACCCGCCACCCACCACAGCTGGCCCAAGTCAGTGATAGTGAGGATATGGACTTTGAGGGGTTTGACAAAGAGGCCCTGCAAGCCTCTGTGGTGGATAGTGATACAATTGTTGCAAGTGATACAGGTGAGGGCCAATAATCTGCCCTCTGCCTCGGAACCAACCCCCCATCCCCTTGTGCCCAGCCATTTTTATCTACTAACGTAAGTGTTAAAAAACCTAATATTATATATATATTTCTCTTAAATATTAATTGTGTGTGCATACCATCATAAAATTAAGATGTTATTTTTACTACAACGTAAGTATTGTGTCAGAAAAAGTGTAGTTTGGGGGTCTGCCCAGTCTCTATTTCAATTAATCCCATATGTTCTGTTATTTCGTTTAAGCGTTTCTCGTTTTACGCGGACCTTCGCGGGTTCAATTGACCGCGTAAATACAGACTATACTGTACATAAAAAAGAAGACCAAGAATATAAACCATCATGATTCTACACAATCAAGTTTCATAAGCAACTGAAATTATATTCTTAAAAAGTAATATATAATTATACTTGTATATAAATTACCACAAAAAAAATACTAACTGGGGTGTTGGTGGTACAGTACAGTGGTAATGCATGTGCTTCTTACTACTATATCCTGGGTTTGATCCCCGGCTCCAGTCATGTGAGAAGGGTGTTATCAAGTGTGTCACTACCAAAACTGGCAGGTTTTCTTAAGGTACACTAGTTTCCTCCTGTACTGTAATAACACTTGACAATGATGAACGTAATAAAGAACAAACCAACTGCCCCAACAGCTAGTAAGCTGACAAGTGGCAGAAATGATAAGGTAATAAAAAAAATTAATAGGCTCCCAAAAATGTTGTATTGTACGGTAACACCTTTGTGATAATATAAGTAAAAAATGCACTCTACTGTCACACTTCTAACAAATATTTTCCCCCTTCATAATCCATCAATACATCTTTGACTTTTCATGTATACAGTACAGTACAGTATACTGTACTGTGATCTTCTAAAGCTGTATAATGTGGCACACAACAAACAACCTTCAGTGCTACTATAGCCTGTGGTCTACAAGATATTTAGGTAAGGTAAGGTTGCTTTGACTAGATACCGGTACCTTATACTGTATCAGGGGTGTCAAACTCATGGCCCGAGAGCCAAATGTGGCCCTTGGGAGGGTCAGGTGTGGCCCACGGGATGACGGTAACATTTATCAGCCCGTGAAATTATGATGGAAATAAGATATGAAGGAAAAATGCAGATATGAACGAGTCGGTAAATTCCGAAATGACCTTTACATCATTGTGGCAATACCTGTAATTGAATTTATATTGTTAATGCTAGTAATAACACTAATGGAATTCTATAATAACTTGTAGACCCAAAATAATGCCTTTTGCTATCCTATTATTAGCTTTAATCATGTTTATTAAGTAAAATTAATTTTACAAACTTAAGATCAGACAAACTCATATGAGGTATTCCTGGTAAGCCAGGTAAGGCAATGTGTGAAGCTGTAAACTTCAATCCTGCAAATATGTGACATAGCACTTGTGTTGGCCCTGAAGAGGGTAACTAAAATAAGAATTGGCCCTCAAAAGGTTTTCAGTTTGACACCACTGCCTTATATCTTTGTAGACTACTGTAAATGCTATAGTAGCCCCCAACGTCCATTATACTGTACTGTACAGACATGTGGAATAAAGAATAGTTTGTTGCATAATCCAGCAGCTCTAACTCATGGCAACATTCAAATACCTTTCCTCTGGATGATAGAAATCCACAACACTATCATACATTATTATATACTGTATCATATATTATAACCATGGTAGAGTACAGTACACTACTGTACAGTACTGTATATCTATATATCATACGCATGAGGCATCTTAAAAATAATATACAGCACTGTATTGAGCATCTTATTTACATGTTCTGTACAGGAAGCTGTGTACTGAACATGATATATCATGATTCAAGTGATTTTATGCTTACGCCATTAGTTATAAGTAAAAAAAAAATAAAAATAAAAAATAAAAAAATCCAGTGGATAAGATAAAAGTTATCGGTGATCTGAAACCATGAAAACCTTACTGGGAATTTATAACAATTGTATTAATGACTATATGAGGTAATGTTTTTCCTTTTCACTATCCTTTCATAAAACTGGTATTTTTTACAAGTGCTGGTACAAATTTTCTACAATAATGTGCATGAATTGTGAAATGTGCATGTTTATGTTAAGTGTGAATATTGAGCTGTGTTACATTGCATAATAATTACATTATTATGCTGCATACTGTGTTTATCAGTATTGGAGCACACAGGTTAGTAGTGCATCATGCATAAGGTTGTTCCCGCTGGTGTTGTTACTATACGCGCGCGTGTGTGTGTGTGTATGTAATTAAATATTTGCGAAGAAATCAGCATGAGAAATTTTACAAGTAAAATAAAAAATATGTAACAACGAAATAAAATAAATAAATAAATAAATATAGCGGCGTGTTTTCGGACGAGTTGGCGCTGTAAACAACTGCGCATCGCGCCATGACAATCACCATAGCAACCACTTTCTGCCCGGTGGGTTCAGCTTTAAATTCCCGCCATCGGCCACCTGCCCCACCTACACTTGTTCCAGAAACGTTGGCCCAACTTAATTCGTTTGAAAAATGTCACCCCTTCAATCACAGATTCTGAAAACGTTGACCAATTTGTATGTGTTCTTGAAAAGCTTTTCACCGTTCTACAGTTGTCGGCCCCATGTATTTAAACCATTTTAAGTAACACCGTGCGACTTACAGTAAGTTCCGAAAACGTAGGTCTCGAAAACATCCGTGTGACAAACGTTAACTGTAAGATGATAGTTCCGGAAACTTTTATACCAAGTTAAAATTTTTCCAGATACCTAACACTCTACGACAGCACAGTCAGACAAAATCCACTAGAGTTTCAGAAACACAATGAAACACTACAAAGAATTGCTCTAGCTGATTAATGAAAACTGTATCCTTTACAAAAACGGTGAACCCAAATATATCCCACATCGTGAATGTCGCCTGTTTCACACACCTGGGCAAGGAGCGCGTGCGTCTGTGTGTAAGTAAACAAGATCAATTCCAGAGAAGCACAAATAAGGGAATACTTTATCAACCACAAACTGTTTGAAACATTACTTATTTATAATTTAAACATTTCTTTTTCACCTACGAAACTCAGATTCCACACACACACACACACACACACACACACACACACACACACACACACACACATTCAGTCCGTACTCGCAGCCTGGCCTCGTGGTGAAGGAGGCCGATCACCACCACGCCGCCAACAATCAGGTTTCCCGCCAATTTAAGATAAATACTGTCACGATCATTATTCTCGGACATTCGTGCGATAAATATCCCTGGCACTGTAGCTAAAGAGATAAAGACCGCACCTAACTGGCATACTGAAGATAAAACCCAATACAAAATACATAAAAGTAATATACATATCACAAAATTACCATACATCGTGACTAACCTTAACTATTTACATTCATTTGCTGCCACATAAACCTGTTAAAATTATCGTTAAGAGTCTCAGGTGTGGATTTTACTTTTTTGTGTGGCTTATGTTAACTAGCTGTTACAAGGAATTATTCATCGTACGACATGCCGGGAACCAAGACTCTTGGACGGAATACCAAAATACACTGACCAATATGGAGTAGAATTTCAACCAACATAATATCGTAAGCAGTGACCATCTACCGTTCTGCGTTACCCTTACAAATTTAAAAGGAAACAGTTGTACAAATAATTATTAATTAATGATTTTTTTTTTCAACTGACGTCAACTGAGCCCAATACCCTGGCCAAGACACCTGATATTAAATAATTCCAGGTGACTGGTGCCATTGATTACTGTTAAAATGAAGATTTTGGCCCTCACTCACCACATTACCCGGCACTGGTGGTGTAACTTTACTCGAGCTAAATATGAACCACTGAGCTCTCAAGGATAATATAATAACCCAAGTAAAGCGGAACATGTTTAGCATGGAGGGCGGCGCCGTAGTGACTGATAAATGTTAAGAGGGTGCCGCCACAATATGGTGGGTGGTGGTAGCGGCGTCAGTAAGCACGTGTTGAAGGTTGGCACAGAGCGAGTTTACCCAGCCCTCTTCCCTGCCAGCTGTTGTCTGCTGCCACATACAGACGTGACAACTATGCCACTCCTCCACCTCTCTGGGATTCTTCTTGTTCGTACACAATAGTCACTCAGGTAACACCTTCAAAATGCCATCTATTTCTACCAACAACCCGCCAACTAATACCTTGGGTACACATTCTACCACCCACTTTAACTCGACATTTTCTCATAGGCTGCACCAGAACACCATATACACCAAATCCATCCTCCAGCCCTCATTTCACCACTTGTACACCCAACCATTAGCACCACACCACCTACCTGCCACAGGCTCACCACCTGGCGCAGCGGTCATATGATAGCTGTTTTATTTTTTCCTGGATAAGTTCCAGTGTCATCAACACTTCCTGGTGTATTTACAAACTTTAGTGACAGTATAAACATAAAACATAAACACGATAAAATTAAAAATAAGAAATAAAAAAGTAAAGTGAATCAGGTTTAAAAGACTTAGTTGATTGACCCGACCCAAAGAATGTGTAATATAAACTTGATATACACAATGAAGAGAATTATCATGCAGTGAACTCCCTGGCCTGTAGACTTTTTTTTTTAACCAGACAATAAGCTCACACAACAGAAAGTGTGGTGTGAGAAACTGTCAGCATACCACAAAACCATTGTTCCAATATGTGTTGAATGATTAATATACAGCACACTGAAACAAAATATTAACGCACAGTAGCTTGTGGTAAAACGCGGGCACAATCCATGAGGTAAAGTGTTGCGGGTGTGCTGTGTGGTGAGAGGTTGGCCAAGGTCGGGCGTCACACCACCACACATCTGTACTCACTCAACCTTCCGCTTCACCGTCAACACTTTTAAATCACTCCTCTCTGTCCACTGCCTCCCTCTTTCACTTCCTCATCTTCTCGTATCACTTAGTTTACTGGCAGAAAGTAAACTGGACTACGGAACCCGAAAGCAGGAGTGTTTTTCTACAAATGTTGTACATGTCACCCCAGTTCATATACACGTTGTGGATTACAATAATATTGATCACCGTCTTAACATCTAAAACTGTCGTCACTATTATGATATCGCTTGCCACTATAGTTTGAGTCAGACAAGTGCACTTTGCTGCAGCGTCGTGTTTACTGTAAGATGGCCACACCGCACTATACGAGTCACCCAAACTAACGTACAGTATACCATATGTGGACCAAAACTATACTACTGTACAGAGTTAGCACCGAGGGCCTGATTGATTCACTGAATGTCTAATTGACTCACTGAGTGACTCACTGCGCGGCTGCGAGGGAGCGTGTATGTGTCCTCCGCCCACCTACGCACACACTAGGAGCAGCCCACGGCACCACCACAACAAACACCTCATCACTACCCTCACTCACTCACTCTAAGGGTATTGTCCTGTCTCGTCATACACCAGTCGCGCGGGCGAGGTGTTGCGACACTTGCTATACCCACTGGCATGGTGTGTGTGTGTGTGTGTGTGAATCTGTGTTCTTATGTATGAGTGCATGTTGAGGAATGTGTTTGAGTGTGTGTGCGTGGGGCGGGTACGACCCCAAGCCTCACCAACACTTGCATAACCGGCACTGAACGCTGGCACGCGGCCACCTCCTTACACTCACAAGAGGTTATCCTCCTATTGGCTTCCCTAGCAGGTTATCCTGACGGAAGGCCTCACGGACCACGCTCTACTGTAGGCGGTGCGCACCAGGTGTGTAGGGCAGTGTGGCGCTCCCGACGACAGGTGTGTACGTCCCACACTACTGACAGAATCACAGGTGTTGAGAGCCGCGCCAACACCAAGAACTACACAAACACAACACGAGGAGATGATGTAAACCAAGTGTTACACCTACACTAGGTGGAGGGCAGGGAGGAGAGCGAGGTCTGGCCTGGCAACACACCGTCCCTCACCCGTTCGCCACCACACTACTGCTGGTCTGCTGCCTCCCTCGGCCCTCCTCCTCCTGCTGCTGTCTCCACAACCCTCCCTCTTCCCTCCCCGAACCCCATACTCCCTCCCTCCCCGGACTCCACAATCCCTTTCTTCTATCTCCCCACACACCCTCCCTCCCCCTTCTACACTCCGCACCCTCCCACCTTTCCTCCCCACACTCTTTTCTATCCTCTTCCTCTTCCTTTCCTCGGCTCACACTTCTTCCACTCTCATCCTTCCCTCACTATACACTCACACACCCCCCGAAATCCTTTCCATCCCAAACGACCAACCTTCCTATCCAATTAACTCTCCTCCTTCCTTCCCTCCCCCGGACCCACACTCCCTCCTTGCAGCACGTGAGGGGGGGGGAGCATGCACGCCACATTGGACTGGTGTGTTACAGGGTGAGGAAGGTCGCTACCACAACACTCGCCCAATTTACCTCCACCACCCACACGTGTCCTCTGGGCGGTGCAGAGTGGGGAAGGGTGGTCGGAAGTGGTGGTGGGTGGTAGTGGCTCTGGTTGGAGGTGGTAGTGACTGTGGTTGGAGGTGGTGATGGTGGTGGTACAATTGTGAGTGAAGTGTAAAGGCTTTTATGGGACAAAGAAGAGGTTAACAGTTGGTAAAGGTGTCAAGACTCCTTGACAGCTTCCTAACAAATGCAAGGCTCCTCGACAGTGCCACCCCCCCCCCACACACACACACCACCAACCTACATAGTAACATACCTACACAACACAACACACACACCTACATTCCACCAACACACACACCTACTCATAAACACACACCTACATAACACCAACACACCACTAACACACACATACCTGTACCTACATACACGAATACATTCACACTATCACACAAAATATAAAATAATAAAAAAGTATCAAAAATGACCGACTTCTCACAGTGTCAACACCAATACTTCTCACAACACCCGGGGAACATGTTAACATACGAGTCAGGCGCTCTGAAACCTTGACCCAGCCCAGCATACTTGGGTTACATAGGACCATGTGTGGCCGTATATACGTATTAGATTGAAGAATGACTTGGTGGAATGAGTAATGAGTGACTGAAGGTAGAATGTCACACGTCCTATACACACACTTCCTTCACCACCCACACACATCCTAAATCACTGGAAGGCCCGACCATTGACACAGGTGGTCTGCCCACGTCCCGGGCACCACCTGGAGATAGTCACCACCATCTGCTGCCTCTCATCCTTCCCTTCCTGCCTGCTTCCCTCCATCACTGTCTGTCTGCCTACTTCCCCCCATCTGTCTGCCTGCTTCCCTCCATCACTGTCTGTCTGCCTACTTGCTCTCCATCACCGTTCGTCGCCCACTTCCCATCTGTCTGCCTGCTTCCTCTCATCACCGTCTGTCTGCCTACTTCCCCATCTCTGCTGCCTGCCTCCATCACTGTCTGTCTGCCTACTTCCCATCTCTGCCTGCCTGCCTAGCCGCGTGGTATACTTCTGTTGATCACCGCCCTTTCCCTATGCAACGATCTCCACCTTCCCTCCCTCCCTGCCTCCTTCCTTCTCATTAGTCTTTCTTTCTTTCTTCTTTCTCTCTCTCTCGGGAATTTAGAAGAGAGAGAGAGAGGAGAGAGAGAGAGAGAGAGAGAGAGAGAGAGAGAGAGAGAGAGAGAGAGAGAGAGAGAGAGCACCATAAGTGTTACCTACAATAGCTCACACAATCAGAGGGAACAGCATAGACGAGGAGGCGTTGTTATGGCGACGGTTGTAGGAGGATGAGGATGTGTCCAAGTCATCATCATCCACCTGTACCATCACACACACACACACACACACACACACACACACACACACACTTTAATTCTTTACTCTTGTCTCTCCAGGAAGGCCTGAAGCGTGACCGTGGCCTAGCGGGGAGGGTACATGACCTTACCAGAGGCGGCGGCCCAACTCAGCCTTCACCTCCCTCACTGTTACACCTTCAATGTCACACTTTATTCTGTCCGTAGCCACAACTGCAGTCATATCATTGATCATAGTGACTAATATTCAAGATAAAACACTACTACTACTACTACTACTAATAATAATAACAACACATAATAATAATGATAATACGGATATGGTCTTCCCCCAACAGCGGTAAGTGACAACAAACACAACAAAGACGTGCATGTAACAGCGAGCAGCAACCATAGAAACCGCCCACTAAACCTAACCTAACCCAACCCAACCTAACCTAACCTAACCTAACCAAAACTAGTCTAACCTAACCTAACCCAACCAAAACTAGTCTAACCTAACCTTAAGATTTGGTCAGTGTTGGGTTGTCAAAAACATTATAACCAGTCTAAAGAAACGCTGTATCAAGGAATCTCTCTGAAACAATGACTCCCTAAACTAAAGATGTGAGACAGGTATACAACACGTTCACGTACCCAAATATACAAAGATGGCGGCCAAAATGGAGTCCAACTACAACCCTGACTGTACATGCAGGGAAAACCCAAATGCGACGCGCGCGCTCACACACACACACACACGTCCTTTAGAAATTCACCCCCACCCATTTACGATATTTGGACACCGGTTGACGCTACCCGGCCCCTGGTTGACGCTACCCGGCCCCTGGTTGACGATACTCGGTCCCTGGTTGACGATACTCGGTCCCTGGTTGACGATACTCGGTCCCTGGTTGACGATACTCGGTCCCTGGTTGACGATACTCGCTGTGACGTATTTAATATTCTAGAATGTACACAAATACCCAGGTCAGCTTTTTATTGGAGAACAAATCCACTCTAAGTCCCTTGAGAAAGTTGACCCCCCCCCCCCGAGAAAGCGCACACACACGGCCCCAGCAGCCAGCCACCACATAAGGCAACACTATCGACACTCAGCTCTGCCCCCCTACGTAACAAAGGTTGAAGCTAATAACGGACAGGTGAGCGGATCTACTGTACCACACACTCCCAAGGTCACCACACAAGGCCACCACAGCTGCTACCTCTACCTCCCACCTCACAATCCCATCTCTCTTCTCTCCCTGTTGTCTCTTCTCTTTCAACAACAACCTTTCTCATCTCTACCTGCCCTCCTTCTTCATTATCCCATCTTTCTCTCTCTCTACTTGCCCTATCTCTCTTCACACCACCCTTCTCTCTCCCTACCCCACTTGTCTGACCTCCCTCTCCCCTCTCCTCCCTCCTACAAAACACCTCTGCCCTTGTCTACCCTCCCCCCCCACCCCTCCCTCTCTCCCTTTACCAGTAGAATAATTGTCTCACATGCACAGTCTTATTACGCTCTCTCTCTCTCATGTCAACTCGTCCACACCTCATGTCAACTCGTCCATACCTCATGTCAACTACCCGACAACAAAGTACTCACTATCCCTTATCAGCTCCATCAAGGCTCTTATCACCTCTTAAACATCTATCACACCCCTATCTCAGCACAACTTACCACCTGTACCATACCCTACCACATCTTACTACCTCCTACCACACCTTCCTACCTCTACCAGCACATATCTACCACCTACCACAATTTCTCCAGTTTGGTAGACGTGACGCACACACATATACACTGATGGAAAAGTACCAGCAACAACAACAACTCTCTCTCCACCTCTTAGCAACCAGCAACACACATCATGTCTTCATTACCTCCCAAGCAACCAGCAACTTTGAATACCCGATAAATTGTTTATAATGAACAGCTGATGGTTTGTTTACAAAGACCCAGCTGGCTCAGAGTGCATCACCACTTTATATATACGTAATGAATGTCACGAGGGCCACACGTCATATTGTCACCCCCACCCCCAGTCCCCCCTTGTTATCCCCACACACACTGTTATTGATATGCCTGTGTTGATAAGTTTGATATCAAGTTTCTGTGGTGATTAGCGTGATATTATTTCTGGTGATTAACTTGATATCAATCTCGGCGACTCATTACCTCCCTATAAACCTCACTGTTAATTACCTATTTAACATAAGTAATTAGTGCACTACAACACATCTGTATTTATACATTTTAAATAGATTCTACATTCATATACGAGCTGACTGTGTTCGTTACTGTTATTTCCGGCACTTGTCAAGAGATCATATTGACCTTATTTAACCTAATGGCCATCCAAGGTCATGGAGAAGTTATATATATAGTGTATATGTACTCTTAAGAACTGAAACAAGTGACAACATGGCAGAGGGCTGGTGAATAATGTGTGTCTATCAGTGATTATTTCTTCACGC